CGCTGTGTTTTTCGTTGCCACTGATGATTCAAACTCGAGTTTTGGGCAGTAGAGTAGCACTTGTTGTTTGTCATTTCTCTGATCACAAATGCAGACAGAGTTTTATGTTTATGCGGCGCGATGCAACGCGTAAAAAGTCTGTATAAGTCATTATAATCAGTAATTGTGTCCCAACTGGATGCAACAAATGCCTCATTTATAATGGGTTTTAATGTTTTTGTCTCGTCGCTCCGGCCTGACACTGCATCATGGTATGGTAAGGGGCGTAACCGTCACACGCTTGAGGTATTCGGCCAATCACAACGCACTGGATAGCTGGCCAATCACAGCACACCTCGCTTTTTCAGACCGATGAGCTTTGTAAAAATCGACACGTTTCAGAAAGGCGGGGCATAGAGGAGAAACAATAATGTACAGTATGTGGGAAAATAATGAGTTTTTTTTTTTTTACTTTAAACCGCATAAACACATTTCATTACACCAAATACACAAAATAATGTTATTTTTAGCAGCATCATATGACCCCTTTAAAACAAACACACATGCGCTGCTTACAAGCATGAACAGTTAGACGTCCACGATAACGGTTTACATTCAAACGTGTAAGTTATGTGAACAGCCGACGTCCAACATCGCAAAATATTCGTGCCTAACAAGATTCACCGCAGACATGGAGTCTGTGGCACTTAAACACTAATCCTCTAATTTTGCACTGACTCACTAAGCTTTACCCGAGCAGCTTTCAAACATAGAACCCGCCCCTAAAAGCCACAAAAGTAAAAACATTGTCGGCTTTCCCCACTGTCGATGCATTTCAGGCTACATGAACAGCATAGGGTAACGTACAAGTTACGACGGATATGTGTTCGTAGGCGTGCTGTAGTCACAACTATGCGTACTTAACATCACGCGCTACAAAATTGAGTGTGTACTTCCATTTCGCCGCTCCCTAATGAAGGCCGTACACATCAAACAACTGACTTCAAGAGGCTATCGAGCTCAAACAAAACCGCAAATTAGAAATCCGACAAATATGAATAAATGAAAATACATTTACAGAAATGACAGTACAGCGACAAAGAGCGACGCAGGAACGAGCACAGCTGCGTATAACGGTACTTACTTTTAGCCGTCTGTTAGTGCGAAACACAAGGGTGCGAGCAGATGAGATGAGATGAGATGGATTTAGCAAAGGTGCATGAAAGTGGGTGTATTCTCGCAGTTATTCAGCGCAATCTATACAATTGTGTGCGTTCTTCATAATCCATAATCCAGTCTGCCTGCATAGTTTTCTTAAATCCCCGTAATAGGACGCCAAGGGAAGTTTGGCGTTAAACAGACTTTCAGACTCTTCCACTTTTGGGTGTTTTCCTCCGCTTCGTTCACTGTTGGTTTTAATCGTATATTTGTCAGTCCACCGATAAGGAATGCACACAGCTCAAACTATATACTTTTTTTTCAACACTTTTCTCCTCACATATCCGAGTTGAAAGTGTCCAGACGTACTTTTACCGGGAGCTGTTCAGAGGCAGGCGAATGAAAGAGTGAAGAGGCGGGGCCAAACCCAGGAGGGCGGGGCAGATGCTGTTTAACGTGACGTTCAACTGCATGTGCGTTATGACGTGCTAAGGGTGACGCAACCTGTGAGCAAGCCCTGATGCTGAAAACCCAACTTTTTGTTATTTCAGATAGATATGACAAATTATATCGAGTTACTACTTGGGTTGAAAAACAGTAAAGCAAAACGCACTAGGTCTCTTTGTGAAGCTTTTCTGTTATTTATATGATGATCTCACACCTGTTCTTTTTTCTGCTTAGGTTTTTTGTTTTCATTATTATTTTTATTTATTAATTTATTTTTACCTGTATTATTATTTATATAATACTTTATATTTTCTATTTATTTTTTGTAGTTTATATTTGTTCAGTACCTTTATATTATATGTTGGAAACCAAAAAAAGAAATAAATAAATATTAACTGTGCGGCAGCGCCCTCTAGTGGACAGAACTACCGCACAAACAGCACAAGAGATCACTCCGTACACATAGATGGACAAATTCAGCTGCTAAAAGTTTTAATTAAAACAAAAACAAACAAAATACACAGAAGGGCTCATTGTACTAGAGCAGGTCAAGTACAAATGCTTCAAATGCTCCAGTTTTAACTACTGTAACAGAAAAGAAAAGGTGGTTTATGTCAAATCAATGATTTTCCCAATGTTACATCCCATCATTTCCAACAGATACCAACCTGCACAACTTCCACATGTCCCATCAACACACACACACTTGCATAAAACCAAAAAAAAAAAAAAAAAAAAAAAAAAAAAAAGCCCCGGTGCTGACTGTAAATGCCAGATGTAAAATAATAGGAGTGATGGTTCATGCTTCTCAATTGCTCAGTTGATAGTTGATCTGGAAGTACGTACATGAAGAACCATAACTGCATAGATTATAGAGTAGCTTAGTCTTATTTAAAACATGATCCATTTGTTAGCCACCCAAACAGAGCTAACGTTCTGCAATTAATATTAGTTATGACAAAATTAAAGAAAGTGTTTTTTTCTGGTTAAGTATACAGTGTGTGTGTGTGTGTGTATATATATATATATATATATACACACACACACTTTTTTTTCAATTTTCAATTTTTTTTCTTATACATTTGTCTGTTGTGAATTTTTTAATCCAGAAGAGTACATCACATTCAAATAATTATTGTCCTCATTGTGCATGTCTCTGATTAATAAAACAGAAAATTTAGTTTAGTACAACGTTTAATTATTAAAATTCCCAGGATATAATGCAGTGGAAACCAAGAACAGTTTCACACTAAGTGTCTATTAAAATAATTTGTGATGAAGTTCATGCAGCCACTATAAAGATGCCGAACTGTTCATACTCGGCTTTGTTAAAGCCAATAGTATGAAGACTTTTAGTACGCACAGAGGATGTTGTTAAAAATAAGGGGTGAAAATATGTTCTGCTGCAAGTTGGTAACAATTATATATACAGTATATATATCATACTTAATCTGAATTTTTATGCATCTGAAAATATCCAAAATACACACATTCATTCCCGTAATCTCACAGACACAAAAATATTGTTTAAAATTTTATTCAAATTTTTTTTTTGTAATTGACAGGTTGTGAAACAACAGTTGAAGAAAATAAATAGAATAATAATAATGATTGTTCATTAATGGTAAATCTGTAAATAAAATGTCTAAAAATACATGGATTCATCAGAACATGTGCCAATGATCCTCTATCTTCATAAATAATTTAAAAAATGCCCTCCATCAAGAAATAGATAAATTAATTGCAAAAAAAGAGATAGAAATCACTTTCCCTAAATAATAATGATAATAATAATAATAATAATAAGTAATAATATCCCAAACGTTTAAATCTTGACCTTCATTTTTAAAGCATGATATATACAGTGAAATACATTTTCATGAATCTTCTCGAATCATTCACAAATTAAAAAAAAGAAAAGAAAAAAGAAAAACTAACAAACCTAAAAATAAAAAACTCTAACAACAGCCTCTCTGTGATAAACTATATTCAGTCACTTTAGGGAGGTTCGCAATATAGGACCAGCATCCTATACCTCAGGTCATTTGTTTCCTTAAGTATTAAAGATGAAGAACTATGTATAACAGGACTCCGATTAGAGACCAAGAGCAAATCCTTCAAAACTCCCAAAAGGACATTCTTTCTCTATCTACCATATTCCTCCCATGATTCTTTGCTCTGATCACATTGACCCAGTCCCACCCTCCCAACCGTTTCGATATGACTGCACATAGTCCCCTTCAAATTTCTATATACATATTTTAGATTGCTGCAGAAAGACTTTAATAGTTCATAGTTCCTTTGAACCCAGAAGCGAAACTAGTGTAGTACTGACATATTTGCATTGGTCCCATTTGTGTGTGTGTGTGTGTGTGTGTGTTTGCAGGGCATAGATGTGTGGGCCGAGGGCAGAAAGGTCACGACCCACAAGCACACGGCACAACAGCGTGTGAAGCAGAAGAGCAAGTGGTGTTGCGTTGCTGATTGGCCCTATATCGTATACTGTTAAGGTAGCAAATCATTCTACTTGACCTGCACTTTGTACGACAAGTCAGTTTTTGTTATTAAATGTATATTTTTGTTTAAATAATCTCGGTAGGTTTTATACTGTAGTTTTGTGAAAGTTGTTGGTCCCGTAATTTGCAATGGAGGAAAAGTGACTTGTAATCGACTCCGATAGTCCTCTCCTTTCTTCCCTGTGAGAGGAAAGAAAACGAAAACAGCAGTTAAAAGCAAGTCATATAAACACAAAAAACACTCCTACTTATTTCACAGAGTTAACACTATTGTGCATTTGGGAAGGTTATCTAAGGCTATGTCCACATTGATCTGGATAAATGTGATCTTTTTTCGTCCACACTAATAATCAGAATTTTCTTGCATCTGAAAATATCACAAATACCCATTTTGGTGCAGCAAAAACAGCTGTTTGAAGATGCTCTCCCAAGTATATAAATTTGAAAACGTTGTAGTGTGGACTGTGATAATGGAGGTATGTTTAGTTATGTGACACATATTGTACACATATATATCTAGGGTTGTACCAGCATTGTTGTGCCTTCTATTCACTTTAATAATATTGCTAAAGATAAATGCCTGCAAAGATGACTGAATATTACTGAATAAAGATGACCGATTTTGAATGTGCCGTGGATGCGCCAGACAGTGGTAGGATATTAGAGGCTTTCGCACCGCATAGTCTTAGGAACTCAGTTCTAGGAACTAGCCAGAGCATGGTGGCTCCTAGAGAACCATTTTCTCCCTCGGGCCAATTGCCTGGTTGCATTCGCACTGGCAGCAGGAACTCTGAAGCGGCCAACAGCGACATCTTTATTCGTGGCATTTACAAACATCAACAGCTGGTCAATGGAGGACACAGTGATCAGAGCTGATTTTGTGGTGTGTGGTGGGTTTCGTGATAACGGAGATGGAATGTAAACAGACAATTTACGCAACTGAATAGGGCTGCACAATTAATCAAAATTGTAATCGCGATTACAATTACGGATGCCACAATTACGTAATCGTTCAAAGCGGCAAGTAATCGTTCAAAGTCCACTTATGTTATTCTGCGTGCTTAAGATGCGTTTTTTTTCTTTCTACATGTTATTTTAAGGGTCTTTCCCATTATTTTATTTTAGTTTTAGTATAACATTATAATACCATTCATATTTGAACTTTTTTTTATAATTTAAAGAAGAAACCAATCCGATGTATAGTTGACATTTGAGGCTTAAAGGGGTCATATGATGCGATTTCAAGTTTTCCTTTCTCTTTGGAGTGTTACAAGCTGATTGTGCATAGATAAGATCCCTGAAGTCTCAAAATCAAAGAGATATTCTTTATCATGTGTGTGTGTGTGTGTGTGTGTGTGTGTGTGTGTGTGTGTGTGTGTGTGAGAGAGAGAGAGAGAGAGCAAGAGAGAGGAGAGAGACAGGGTTAAATCACAGAGTCAGTTGTCTTAACCGTGGCTTGTGTACTGCAAACACATACCAGCTTCATCACTGTGTCTGTCACGCGACTCTGTTCCCCTTTCGGGCTTGAACTGATGGTAAAACTAATGACATTATTTACCGTCTTTACATTTATTTTGAAAGATGAAGCTCGCGATTATGGTAAGGTGCGTTACATTTCCGATGAGTGCTTGCGGTGTTCGGCCAATCACAATGCACTGGGTCAGCTGGCCAATCAGAGCAGACTGCGCTTGTCGGAAGGAGGGACTTTGTAGAAAACTAAGCATTTAAGAGAGGCGGGGCACAGAGGAAAAATATATATTATTTGAAAAATAATGTGTTTTTTGAACATTAAAGCATGTCAACATATTCTGTTGCACCAAATACGCAAAATAATGATCTTTAAAAAAGCATCATATGACCCCTTTAATACTATAGAGAAGCACTAAAAGTTTTTCAGTTAGAGTGTTTTCAGCTTGTTTATTTTCATTTAAAAATACGGCATGCAGTTGCATCAAACAATGGTATAAACATCATTTAATGTAAATTGTGATAATCGTAATTAATAATCGCAATTACAATTTCAAGGGAATAATCGACAATTATGATTTTTGTCATAATCGTGCAGCCCTACAACTGAAAGAGCAAAATCTCCAATGACAACTTGCAGTCTTACATATCATGGAGGCTGAGAAAAACACAATGCTGCAGACAACAGGTTAAAGCCGTTGTCGCTGTTTTCCATGTTCGTGGAGTAAATATTTTTACGTGGCTTTTAAAAAAATGCCGGGTAGCCAGTGCTTCGTATGCTTTTGGTCAATCAGTGTACACTTACGTCACATGTTAGTTCCTATAGAACTGTTTTAGGAGCTAATTTAGTTCCCCCCAAACGCAGTTCCTAGAACCAAATACGTTTCTAGTTCCTGCGGTGTGAACATGCCAAAAAGCGGGAACTTCCGCCAACAGTTCTAGAAACTATGAAAAGGTTCCTCTGGTGCGAAAGCCCCTATTTACTACTAAAATGACAGTGCTAG